AAAAAAAAAAATATAGCATCAAAAGGGTCAATGCAGTAAAATTGACAACACCAACTTTCAATATTTTTCTGTTGTCATGTGCATGCAGAAAAAAATATTTACTTCTTCCCATTTTTTTTTTCCCCCTCCCTCCTTCTTTTATTATCAACACTTTTTTTTTTTTTTTTCTGTATATTTATACGACGACAAAAATGCAGTATGTACGAAAACACAGATCATTGTTATAATTGTCAACTGAGCCACCAATAACCTGTTGTCTGAACATGGATAAACCGATTAGACTACATACAGTTTTTGCCACTTCAGTGTTGCTTTTATTCCGTGTTGTATAAGCCAAACAGGGAATGTTAATAACTGTTTACCAGCAGTACCAAAAACTAAATATGTGGGACTTGACGATGACGATGGATGAATAAGGGAGAAAGCCATAAGAAAGCCAAGTATCAGAAAATTGGAAAAAAAAAATGAACTTTATTATCGGAGAAACCAGCAAAATGAGGTTTTACAAATAACTACTGTCATACAGTACAACACATACAGAAATACTCGCCGACACACACAGACACAGACACAGACACACAGACACACAGACAGACTTTTTATTAAAAAAAACATACATCAAATTATTAATAAGGCAATACAACATACATCAGCCAAAAAAAAAAAAAAAAAGCTTATCTTTATTGAAGCGCTCCTCCATTTGATCAAAAAATGACAAAAAAATTGTCACAATTAATTGATGACAAAACAAGGAATTATTTGGTTGATAAAGAATAATAATTAAAAAGACAAAACAACAAAAAAAAAAACTGATGATGATGACGATGACGATAATGAAAAGTATAAAATACATAAACACATACACATATATGTATAAAATTTTTTTTTTTTTTCTTTTGAATGAAAACAAAAAAAAAAATTAAGCTGATAAAAGGCACAATACCAGTTTAGTGAAGTCCCCGTGATATCAGATCAAATCAAATGTCATTACAGTAAATGCTTAATGCCAACTTATGCCAATCATTTCA